AGGACAGAACTAGGTTCATATTTTTGTACACAGGGCCACTCTAAGTCATACTTGACTCAATGACACCTAACAACAACAACAATTCCGCTGATTCTCAGGGCTTTTTTTTTCTTTTCAGTGCTTCAGTGCAGCTTGAACTTCTTCCTTCATTTCCACTGACTCTTGATCACATGGTACTCCCTGAAATATTTCATTGTCTACTAATTCTTTTTGAGGCAGTGACTTTGTGAATTACTTTCATCTTTTTGTGATGCTACCTGGATTATTCAAGATTTGGTCCAAATGATCTCTCAGTATTATAACGGTTGTTGTTGTTGATTGCTGCCGAGTCAAACACAACTCATAGTGACCCCATGAACAAAAGGCCTGAGGCCCTTCCACAACCATCGCCACTTATCAAAGTCCAGTTTACAGAAGCATGCTGTTTAGAAAGTGTAAGCCACTCCTGCTAGAAGCTTGAATTTGTTTTTCTTTTTTTAATATTATTTTTAAATTATTAATTTCAATGAAAACTTACAGAGGCTTTGGATTTCCATTCATTCAATGTTGCACTTTCCCCCCCTCCCAACCCTGCCCCCTAGTACACTACCCTCTTGGAAAAGTAGAAGAAAAAACAATCTTCCAGTGTTTTACAATCCCTCCCCCAGGTCCACTCCACTATGAAGCCTTCGTTCTGGACTCCTGTCATGACAATAGTACCTAATCACATATCCCTTTTAAACAGTTTTCTCCCTTATATATTTCAATGCATTATACTTTATTGAATCCATCTTTCTCAGTCTCCCTCCAACCCCAATGTCAGCCTTGTTTTACAACAGTGGCACCATGCAGTATTTGTCCTTTTGTGACTGAGATACTTCACTCAACATAATGTCCTCCAGAGTCCGCCATTTGGAATAATATTGCATGAGTTCCTTGTTTTTCAATGCAATGTAGTATTCCATTGTGTGAATATACCAGAGCTTCTCTATCCATTCATTTGTTGATGGGCATCTGGGTTGTTTCCAACTCCTTGCTATTGTGAACAAAGCCTCCAATAAACATGGGTGTGTATATATCTGCTTTGTTGGCGGTTATGATTTCTTTAGGTTATATTCCCAGTAGTAGAATTTCTGGGTCAAATGGTATCTCTATTTGCAACTTTTTGAGAAAGTGCCACACCACCTTCCACAGTGGTTGCACCATTTTACACTCCCACCAACAGTGAATACGTTTTCCAATTTCTCCACAACCTCGCCAGCATTTGTTGCTTGCTGTTCTGTTAAATTTTGCTATTCTTAGTGGGGTGAGATGATAGCTCATCGTTGTTTTGTTGAATTTGTTTTTCAATTCTTCCAGCTTTAGAAATGTAGGATGAGTTCTTTCCTTTTTATTCTCTAAGTCCACATCATTGCACATTCCATCATAATACTTGCGTTGCCTTCTCGTGTTGCCCTTTCCTTTGAAATGTTCCGTTTATCTCTTCCACCCCTGCATCTCTTCTAAGGATCTTTTCTGACCTCCATTTTGGTCTTGTCTTTCTCCTCTGTCTGTATGAAGCTTTTTCTCTCTTCATGGATCATGTCCTTGACGTTGTTCCACAACTTATCTGGTCTTTGATCAGTAGTGTTCAATGACACAATCCTATTTTAGAGATAATTTTGAAATTCAGGACAGATAGACTCAAGACTGCATTTTGGTTTTTGTAAATTAGCCGATGTTAGATGGATCTTAGCTGAAAGCAGAGAATACCAGAAGAATGTCTATCTGTGTTTCATTGATTATGCAAAGGCATTTGACTGTGTG